AAAAGGTCCCCACAGAGGAAAATCATACACTTCCAACTCGCACTCAGTCGGATCTATTGAGTGAAACCAGACAAAATACCCTGTGTTAAGATTAAGGGTGGGGGGGGAACATTTGCTGCAATTGAAGTCTGTGACCAAACCATTAAAAAAGAAATCCATTGCATGCATGTGAGTTCCTGCTGAGACGCAGAGACCTGCCCCTTCTCGAGTTTTCCACCTGAGTTTCCTGGACCGGGGCCCGAGACGAACTCTCCTTTCAGAGACTGCAAATAGTCCGCCTGGTCTGCGCGGGGCCTCTCTTCTTCCACCTTGAGATGGTTTTTCCAAAAAGCTACGGCCCCACCAGTGAACATAGCCTAGGTGCTGGAAGGAGCTGCAGAAGCCAGGGCCCTCACATTGCCACTGGTCTTCGGTGAGTCTCCCTGGTGAGTCTCCAAACCTGCCAGAACGTGAGCGCCTCGGGGCAATGTAAACTGAAATGATGTTTATGGAATTTGTTCAAACAAATGCCAACAGAGAGGACTGTGGGTAACAGATTCCATTGTGTTAGTCTTTTTACCACACCATATGCAAGAGGAATAGGCGAAAAAGAATCAAGCCTCACAGAAAGGTGGAGATGCCAGATGGTGTTGTCCTTTGAAACCAACATACAGGGTGGCTCCGTCGGTTAGGCGACTGACTCCTGGTTTCGGCTCAGGTCATGATCTCAGGGTTATGAGATCTAGCCCCACGTCGGGCTCCACAGGGCATCTGCTCTCAGATTCTCTCCCTCTGGCTCACCCCCCACTGTCTCTCTCTCTCTTTCTCAAATAAATACATCATTAAAGAAAGAAAAGAAACCAACAATCAAGGAAGTAAAATGGACACAGCATAGCCTGGCAACAGAAAGACCTGAGTTCCAAAGTGAGCTGGGCGGGCGTTTGCTGTATGAGCTTGCCTCCCCAAGGCTCAGTTTCCTCATCTGCAAAATGGGGATAGGCAATAACACCTTGATGAGATTTTAGTGAGAATTTACGTGAAATCAAATAATGTTGGCAGCAGCGCCAGGCACGCATGCTGCCCCCGAAAGAGTTCCTCCTTTCCTTCCTGACTGATGTTAACACTCTCCCTGACCTTGAGGGAGACCAGAAGGGAAATATGCTCCTTCCTGTTTCTGCACCCATGCTGGGGCAGGGTCATGGACTTTCCACCAGGTGTGGGTTCCTGAACTTCCTGCCTCTCTCCGAGTGAGGAGTGTAAGCAGGTTGGGTCCCCTGGGAAGAAGGGAGGACAGTAGGATTCCAGAGAGCTGAGTGAGCACATCTGTAACAGGGAGAAAAGTGTTTTAGAGAACCACTAAGAAAGGATGCGGAGGCCGCCTCTCCTGCGCCAAATCCCCACACAGATGACGTGGCAGCTGGCAAATCGAAGGATCAGCTGGTGATGTCCCAGCCAGACATAGAGCTCTGGCCAAACCCTGGCCAACCCCTTCTATTGGACGTGTCCGGGACTGCAGACACAGTGTGGAAATGTGTTCCAGACCTTTACAAGGAATTTGAAAAACCACACACCCAGACCCTGGAGGGTGTTTTCAGGAGTGTAGGAAGCAAGAGTGGCAGAGGGACTTTCCTCCAGAAACTCCATTTCACCCCCAGGCATCCTGAGCTCTCCTTGCCAGCTTCCTGGGGGCTGTCCCTCTCTAATGGCAGCCCGAGATGCTCCAAGGATAACACAGAGACAGATGTCGTGTGGATCTGGCCCTGCCTCCAGGCCTATGACTCACCAGGATGACGGAGCTTCCCTGGCAGATAGCACAGTTCTCAGAGGACTCCATGAAGCCAAGAACAAAACCCCAAGGCTTGGACCCCTCCAGGACTTTCTCTGGGACTGCACTAGAAATGGAAACTCTCTTAGCCCACACTGGTCTCAGAAGTGGAGCTGCCAGTACCAGCCAGTGGTGGGAGAGCTGGTGCAGGGCTCAGGGCATGGAGAAGAGATGCTCAGAAGCAGGTGGGTCAAGGCCTTGGCAGTGGATTAGCTGGAGTGGCCGCAGGAGGGTCTTGGATGATAATGCACACACTGCAACAGCACTGTTGATTTTCTGGCCCTGCTCTGAGCCAGTGCTCTTTTCTACTATGACAAAGAAATAACCAGCAATAAAAATCTATAACTGGCCCACCGGAGCCTTAAATCGAGAAGGCAGAGTAGGGAGTGTTGGAGGGTAAAGGGAGGAGCAATGGCCTGTCACGACTCTGGGTCAGGCAGATCCAAGTTCAAATACCCACTCTGCCACTCAGCAGCGAAAGGACCTTGTGCAAGCCTCATGTCAGCCTCTTTGTGCTGTTTCATTTATAAAACAAGAATAAGGCTGTGCGAATGAATTGAGATCATCTCTTTCTATATGAAAAAGGCTTAGCATAATGTCTGGTGTAATGTATATACCTTGACTTTTCCTTTTTATTTTCTTTCTTTCTTTCTTTCTTTCTTTTTTTTTTTTTTTTGGTGATGACTCCAATTCTGAATTAGCTTTGGCCCAGAGGGCTTTCCCTTCCTTTATTTCTGAGTGCAAGTTCCCATTTTGGTCCCCTCTCTAGTCCTGTCAGGACCTGAGTCCTTTCCCTGAATCCCAGCCCAAGCTTCGGAGAACCACCCCACTACCAACTGCCCAGAAGGATGTCCAAGTTCAGCTCATTGATTTTCTGTCACGATGCTCCACCCACATACCACCGTGATACCATACTGTGTCTCAGATGCCTCCCTCATTGCATACTGATTGTCTGGACGGGGACAGATGCCAATCAGGGTACCTGTCACCCAATAGAGCTAAGTTCCTCCAGTAGCCCCAGAAGCTTATCCCTTACTTGAGAACAGAGACTCCCCATTTGGCAGGTCTGTCCCCATCCTACTAGTCAGCCATGCCCCGAAGACAGTAGATACATGACAGGGTGAACTCATGGAGGGACACAGTGGTTTGCAGAGTTGGTCACAATAAGCAGCTTTTAGCCCCTACTTTGTCCCAGCGATCCCGATCGATCGTGAAAGCCTCTGAAATTCTATGCTGGGGGCTTCTGTCGCCTAGGTTACGAAAGCACGGGCAGACAAAGCACACCTCCTTCCTTTCTCTCCTCTGCCTGCAGACTTTTGTGAACCAGCCTGGAGCGGGGAAGGAAATGCTAGGGGTGCACTGAACATCCCGGAAAGTGATGTGCTGGGACCAAGCGACAGTTGTTCAAGGTCCAGCTGGGTTAGCACCGTCAAAGATGGCTCTCGGGGAGGGTAGAGATACCCATGGGACATGGTCCTGCTCCCAGTTCACCCGTGGAGCCCCCCAGCCACCTGCCAGTAGATATACACACATCAACCATTTGCCGGGCTGCTTGTGAAAGGGATGCAGAGGTGAATAAAGCAAGACTTGGCCTCAAGAAGCCCACAGACTGTCCGGGATAGGGACCATCACAGCCCAGTGGGGTAGGCGCTGTGACCCGGAATCTGTTAGTTCTATGGGAGTGCCAAGGTTGGGACTTGTGTTCACACCTGGGTAGGGTGGGTAGGTGGGGGCAGGAAGAGACCCCAGAATAGATGACATCAACTGAAGCTTTGGGAATGGGGGAGAAGGCGCCAAGCAGAAGGCAAGCGCTAGGAACCACTCATGCAGAGGCTCCCAGTGTGTGAGTGGGGGATGCATCTAAGGTGGCAGCAGCGGTCTGTTCAGCGATGGAGGGTTTGTGTTCAGTAGCGAACAGCAGGAGACGGGTCTAGAGAGGCAGGCAGAGGTCTGATCAGGAAGGGCTGTGTGTTGAGCCAAGGAGGTTCCACTATAGTCCATGGGTGGTGAGGAAATACTGGTGTAAGAACCTCTAAAAAGTGGCAAGGGGGACAGGGCACAGGAGAGGACAGCTGTTGGCTCTTTGCTCCAAGTTTTCTCTCCAAGTGCTGACCTTCCCCATGGGCAACCCCCTCTCCCCCGCTGTGAGCCATAACCTTGGCTGGGGATGTACCTAGTTGCAGTGCCGTGTGGGTGACCCCACTTTAGAGACGAGCACGGCAGAGTGTGTCCTAGTGATCCCCATGCCTACCTTGCTCTCAGGTGTTCCCACTGCTTGGCACATAGTAGATGCTCAGTATTGGCTGAATGAATGAACAACAATGGGAGGCATAACCTTACTAAAACCTTCACGCGAATGTGTTAACTTCAGTGGCCTTTGTCTCCCTAGCCACAGAATGGCTCCTATCACCAAAGCAGATCTCCCTTAGATTTGGGAAATGGGGAGGGGGTGGATCCTTAGACCTGAAAGAGGCCCACAGCTCTGTAGGGGGATTATGGTTCTTACATGTGCATGAACTATGAAACTGACAACATCCCTATCACTTCATGCTGAACTGTTCATCAGTTCCAAAAGGAAGGGACAGGAGCTGACCTACTCTGTTTATCCTGGTTGTATTATCCTCAGTGCCAGTCTCTGCAGAGCTGTTGAGAGGAGAGGAGACAAGATAAGCAGGAATATAGGGGAAACCGGGGGGCTCCATTGGGAGCGTCCCACTCGTGATTTAGACTCAGGTCATCATCTCAGGGTCCTGACTTCGTGCCTGGCGTTGGGCTCCACGCTCAGCCAGGAGTCCATTTGAGATTTTCTCTTTCCCTTTGCTCCTCCTCCCGCTCGCACATGCTCTTGCTCTCTCTAAATAAATAAATAAATCTTTAAAAAAAAAAAAAGATAACCAGGAATACAGTGCCTGACACGTGTTAGGTGCTCAGAGGTGTATGAATAACCTCCTACCTTCTTACTCTCATGTTAGAGCTAAGAAAATGATAAGCTCTCTGGCCACAAAGCTGGTAAGGAAGAAATGTAGGATCTGAACGCAGATCTGCCTGACTCCCAAGTCTGCTCCTCTCCCGTCCACCTGGCTGCTTTTGAAAAGACAAACAGCACGGGGCACGTACTGAGCACAGCTGGGTTGACACAATGTGTGTAGGAGTTGAGGAGTACCACGTGTATCAGGGACATCAAAAGCAGCCATACCCCCTCTGGTGTTGGCAAAGTGATGAATTCCAGCATGAGACAACCAGGTTCCTTCCTCCAGGGGCCATGTTTCACCGAGGTCCATGCTTCCAGGGGACCCTCCTGTCCGTGGAGATCTCGGATCGAATGGAATCTCCTGAAGGAGATAATAAGCACAAAAACAGGAGATGAATTACCACTGATGCTCTCCTGGGAAGAAGAAGCTTTCTGGGAGGAAAGTCGTCATTTCCGGTTCCTTATGTTTCTTTAGCATGCAGAGATTGTTGTCAAGATTTGGGCATGGTCCGAGTGGGAGATGTTCCAAGGAGGCTGGTTGACTCCACGAATCATGGTTTCCCTCCCCCTTCAGTTAACAGATATTTGTTGATCAAACACCACATGCCAGGCTTTGAGCAAAGAACTTAGTGTGTTGAGCTCTGCATGGTTTACGGACTTCTAGAATTTTAGGATAGGATACAGTAGAATCTCAAGTTCATAAAAATAAACGGGTATATACTTCCATATATGTCTAAAGCACAGATTGGAAAATTTTGGACTAGAAACCTGGAAGAAACTCCTAAGGCATTGGAATTATGAGTGCTTTTTATTTTCTTTGGAATTTTCCGCATTTTCCACAATAAACATGCGTTACTCTTACCATCTGAAAAAGGTATACAATAAATATTATTTGAAAGAACAATACCAGGGCCAAGAAGGACCACGGAGGCTGATTTTCTATCTCCCCCTAGAACACCATGATGTGGAGGGCTCTTGGCTTTCCTAAGAAGATCTCTTCACCGGCTGCCTCAGAGAAGTCCAGCCTGGGGAATCTCGACCTATATCTGGAAAGCTCATGGCCGATCTCTGACTTACATTTCAAAGAGATTTTTTTTTTTAAAGATTTTATTTATTTGACAGACAGAGATCACAAGTAGGCAGAGAGGCAGGCAGAGAGAGAGGAGGAAGCTGTCTCCCCGCTGAGCAGAGAGTCTGATGCGGGGCTCGATCCCAGGACCCTGGGATCATGACCTGAGCCGAAGGCAGAGGCTTTAACCCACTGAGCCACCCAGGTGCCCCCATTTCAAAGAGATTTTCATAAAGCTCTGCGTGCAGCAGGTTCTCAGTTGCATAACTGAAAATGATGGATTGACTTAATCTAGGAACGCAGCAAGTGGGATCTTTACCACATCAGAAGTCCTGTCACCCTAATTAGGATAGGCACCAATAATCATTTGTTGTAATCAGACCAGCTGGCTTGATCTGGTTTCCAGAACACTGTGGGAAGTTGCCTGTAGGTTCCCACACTGCCTGACTGACTGCGGACATTGCCTTGTATGCCTTTTGGTTGTCTGCCTAGAGAAATCGGGTACTCTTAGAAATTGCAATGAAGACCCCAAAATCGCTCAGAAAACACCAGGAGTTACCTAAATTGGGTACTGGTTCTAGTAGGGATTTGATTTCCATCCAAGCACCCAAAAGTTTTAAAAGGGAATTCTAGACCAGAGGGGATATATCACAATGCCAGAGTAAAAACATTGGATTTATCAATAAATCCGGATTTATCAATAAATCCGGATTTCAGCCCCCTGGCTTGGGAACTACTGGGTGACTGGGCAAACCACTTACTCTCTCTGGCTTCATTTCCTCAATGTAAATGAAGGAATTAGGACCAGATGTTGTCAAAGGCTTCCTCAGCCTTCCAAGACTTGCAGCCTATAATAATATGCTTTACATACAAAGGCAACCCATCCACCCACATCCATGGGTGGAGAAAGCTGTGATATTTATCCATTAGCAAACCGAGACATCAGCTTGAACACGTGAGAGGCGGCTGATCAAGGCGAGAGATAATCTGCGATTGAGACAAGACATGCTCTCAGTGCAAGACTGAAAACATGTCTGGAATGGAAATCCAGTCCTGAGCCATGATCATGCTGACATCACCATTTAATCAAACGACCTAAGTATTCAACATCTTGTATCTTAGCATTATTTACAATACTATTACATCCTTAAAAAGCAACATTGATTTCCAGTAGACTGGTCATTCAGAACCATTTCATTACTCCTTGCAGTATCTTTGAGAAGTGAGTTGGAGATTCTTATAGCTTTCTGTGACAAAAAATAGAGCCGTACTGATGAATTAAATAGTGGTTTTCCCCATCCTTCTTGGCCCAGGGGCCTAGGCATTCCCTGGCCCCCAGGAGCCAGGTTTGTAAGATGATCTCTTCTGGATGTGTGAGGCTAGATTCTGAATAAATCTGAACTATGTAGGTTCCCACTGTTTCATTAACTTCAACCTAAAAACCCTGCTGGTTTCTCTGATGCTTGAATTTCACACCTCAGCTTGGGAAAGCTACACACAAAATGTGAAATGAAATTACATCAAACACAAGCATTTCGAGGAAGACTTTGATCAACCACATCTGTTACTGGCATTCTAATATCACTGCTTCTGTCACAGGGAACCCCAGAGTTGTTCGTGAATGATGGAGTCTGGAAAACATTTTCCAGGCCTTCTAGAAAGTGTTAAACCTCAATCTAAGATGAAACTCTCTCAAAGACTAAGTCCATGAAGAAGAAACTAAAAAGACAAAATGAGGTGAGCAAATACTTTCTCTAAAGGATAAAGTGGGGTGTTGCAAGTGGGAGAGCTTGTTGAAATCCTACAGTTGTAGGATTTGAGAAGCACTTTTTCAAAGAACCATCTGTATTCCCATGTTCACAGAAGCATTATTTCCAATATCCAACATATCCAACACAACAAACAGTGTGCGTTATTAACGAATAAATGAATTCATATTTTTCTAGATTATCATGTTTTCTAAGTTGTATTGTTTGTTTGGTTTTTGTTTTTGTTTTTAAAGATTTTTATTTATCTATTTGACAGACAGAGAAATCACAAGTAGGCAGAGAGGCAGGCAGAGAGAGAGGGGGAAGCGGGCTCCCCACTGAACAGAGAACCCAATGCGGGGCTTGGTCCCAGGACCCTGAAATCATGACCTGAGCTGAAGGCAGAGGCTTAACCCACTGAGCCACCCAGGCACCCCTCTAAGATGTATTTATCTGAGAGAAAGTGCAGGAGGGAGGGACGAGAAAGAGGGAGAGAGAAACTCTAGCAGACTTCAGCGCTGAGAACAGAGACCGACATGGGCTCAATAACAGGACCCTAAGATCATGACCTAAACTGAAATGAAGAGTCAGATGCTTAACCCAGGTACCCCTGGATTAATATGTTTCGTTTACACACACACACACATACAGAGTAGATCTGGAGGGCATTATGCAAAGTGTAATAAGCCAGAAAGAGACATTCTACATGATATCATTTATATGTGGAATCCAAAAAGAAAAAAAAAAAGTAGAACTCCTAGAAAAAGAGAAGAGAAAAGTGGTTGCCAGAGGCAGGGAGGTGGAGAAAATAGGGAGAGGTTGGTAAAAGGGTACAGACTTCCAGCCGTAAGATGAGTAAGTTCGGGAGGTCTAATGCACAACAATAAGAACGAAAGGTAAATATGTGAGGTGATGGATAAGCTGCCTCCATAGGAAGAATCATTTACAAGCTACACAGGAATCTCCAGTGTATACTTTAAATATCTTACAATATTATTTGTCAATTAAACATCAATAAATCTGAAAAAATACATAGAAAAATAAATAGAAATATTATTTTATAAATAATAAATTTTTATAATAGATTTTATTTATAAATAAATTTAAAAATAAAGAGAAAAGATAAAGAGAAGAACTAAATCACTTGCATCGTGGTACCCTCGGGTCTACGGAACACCAGGATACTGTGATTACATAATTGATCTTTCATGAATATCGGTTGACTGAACAGATGTGTAAATGACAGTGACCGGTGTGTGCAAGGACCCTCGTCAGTTATCAGATACTATTAAGCAGGTAAAGGAGATCCCCCCCCACCCAATGAGTGGTGCGGGGCCCAGCGGACCTTTGGACCCTAGGAGGTTAGCGCTCTGACTCCCCGATGACCTTAAATGGACATGTCCTCCTCTCTTTTCAGAGCTGCCTCTGGAACAAGACATCCCCCTAGCTGCCTGAGCCAAAACAGGCCATCCTTGATTGATCACTACGCCCCTCGGATCAATCACCACACTTTATCCATCCTAACTCTCAGATGTCTCAAGAAGACATTTGCTGGGCGCCTGGGTGGCTCAGATGGTTAAGTGTCTACCTTTGGCTCAAGTCATGATCCTGGGATCCTGGGATAGAGCCCACATCTGGCTCCCTGTTCAGCGGGGAGCCTTCTCCCTTTCCCTCTACCTGGTACTCCACCAGCTGGTGCTCTCTCTCTCTCTGTGTCAAATAAATAAATAAATATTATATATATATATATATATATATATATATATAAAAGAGTTCGTTCCTCCTGCCTCACCTTGCTGACTACAGATTGTCCCTTCTGTCTCAGAGTTGCTGTGCTCCCTGCAGACTTCCCTGTGCTTGCCTCCTTCCAGCATGTATCACATGCTGTACTGTATTTGTCTGTACTGTAATGGTCTGTTAATACAGAGAGTTGAGTCCACAGCTCATGTACCTGAGAGCAGAGACCCTACTCATCTGAATCCCCAGCAGTGGGAAGAGTGGCTGTCCCAAGGCAGGCGCTCAGTCTCTGTTGATCGAACAGATCTCCGTGTCACACCTTCCTTTGGCAAGTGTTGTCTTCAACCCCACCCACCTCCTCTGCTTCTTTGGCAATTTCTCCACGTAAAAACCACACCTTCTCTGCCTCTACTTCCTGGCCCCATTCTGACCTTCTCATCCAGTCTAGCTCGCTGAGATTCTCCCACTCAGTCTCCTACTTGAGTCTGCATTCTTGCTCCTCCGCCCGGTGTGCCATCAGAGCCCCTGCCCTTCGTACACCTGCCTCCCTCCCCACGCTTGGGCTGAAACCACACTTCTGATTATCTGCAGGAGACCTGCCCACTTAATGCAACCGAATCACACCCAAGACCTCTAACCAGCATCTCTAGGGGCATGGCTGGCAGTGGGGCTGGATTTAGAAATACAAATTCAGAAGAACCCCAGCCATACTTCTACTCTGCCTTCATTGCTATAGCACAGCTCCAGCTGCAGAGAAGGAATAAGTGACATAGAAGTGCCGTATGTGGGGAATCACACAGCACCCTG